GATGCATTCCCTGAGCTTTTCACTGAGACTAGGACGCCCTCTTCTGGGCTCCCACAGTACTTCTATGTGTACTCTAAACAGAATATTTACTAGAATTGTCTAGAGATGTCATATAGTGTAGGATGGTCCCTGAAGCAACGCTGCTTTGGTTGACACCCATGCTGCACCACTTACCCTCTGTATAAGCCATACTCCCTGTATAAGCTATACCCTCTGTATAAGCTATATTCCCTGTATAAGCTATATTCCCTGTATAAGCTATATTCCCTGTATAAGCTATACCCTCTGTATAAGCTATACCCTCTGTATAAGCTATATTCCCTGTATAAGCCATACTCCCTATATAAGCTATACTCCCTGTATAAGCTATACTCCCTGTATAAGCTATACCCTCTGTATAAGCTATACTCCTTGTATAAGCTATACTCCCTGTATAAGGTACACTCCCTGTATAAGCTACACTCCCTGTATAACCTTAGTCAAGTCCTTGCCCCTTTTAAGCCTCAGTTTTCTCATCCACAAAATGGTGACAGTAACATTACCTACCTTGTGGAAGGTTGTGAGAATTGAGCTAATAAAGGACTTAGACCAATGCCTGGCACATAGTGAATTCTCAATAAACAAATTATTAGCACCATGTATAGAAATTATTTGCTTATCTGTCTCTACTGCTACATGATAAGCCCCCTCAGGGTAGTGACTGTATTTGTTCAACTCATTCAGAGACTATGTCTGAGTTTAACTAAAAATACTGCACTGACTTTAAGCCAGGCAGCCGTAGGTGTAAGAATATAAAGATGAGTAAAATAAAGCTCAGCCATCAAAGGTCTTATGGTCTTCCTACGTACACACTGAAGGACTTAAATTAATACAGATTGAACTAACCTGTGAGGGTTGGCTGTTATCAACTCTAGTTTTAGGGTCAGTCATAAGAAATCTCAAAACAGCCTTATTTGAATAAATGGGAACTTACTCCCAAACCTAAGGATAACAAGTGCTAACAATCAACAACACTTGCAAGATTAGTACAACTGGAAAGTGCTGTGATTCACCCAGATCTGCAGCTCTGTTTTGACTACCACCAGGGGGATATAAGCAGCGTTAGTCTTGCGTTTTTGTTTCACTGAAAAGCCAATTTTTAAGAAAAGAATATTTAAGTCTTTAACTATGATTGTCGTTTTCTCGTTGCTCCTTATATTTTTACCAGTTTTGGAAAAACATATGTCTTATAGCTTATACAGGTGCTTGGCCTAAGTCTCTGGATCAGGTAGACCCTTTAGTGGTATAAAACATCTCTTTCCCATGCAATAATTCTTTGTCTTGGATTCTATTTTACCTAATATTAGTATTGTTTCACCTACTCTCTGAGTGGTAATTTACCTAATATATCTTTTTCCTCTCTTTTAAACTTCTCAGCAGTATTTAATTTTAGTTATATCTCTTATAAATAGTATATAACTGAGTCTCTGGGCAAAAGGTGACATCAATGTACCCACACGGAGTGTGACCGCTGATGTGTTTGCGGCTGGACTGCTACCCTGTGTGTCACTCCTTCCTCGCACACACCAACTGCGCACTGCTTCAGGCTGTCTGCACTTATCGTGCACCTTCCCACCACAAGTGTCTTCTCTTCAACCGGGTCTTAGCCGAATGTCCCATGTCTCTACAAGGCCTTCTCTCACACTATCTTTTTAGGTGCTTGAAAAAAATAAAACCCATTATTACCTGCGCTGACATTCTAGCTGACTTAATGTCGGATTCCCCCACCACACTGTCAGCACCAGGAGAGCCCAGCAAGGGCTGGCCTTATCACCACTCCCGGCACTCCAGCCATCTTAAGTTGAATGTTAAATGTGTTTTGGAAGATCCATATGCCAAATTGGATTTAAGTTTAAACTTCTGCTGGCTTTCCAAATGGCAAAATAGGACGATCTGAATTCTCATAAAAGTAATACCCAATTCCAAAAATGCAATCTGTTTAGAGATTATGAAAAACCAATTTTAGAGAATATTGCATTTTCAAGCACCTTTTATTTACACTTTAATCGCTTACATCTTTAAAAATTAAAGGAAATATTTGCTGCTTTTTCAACTTGGCAAACAGGCAATTCAATTTTAGAAACGCAACAAATAGTCAATTTCAGGCAAAAATATGAAGTTTTTGTCAGTATTAAATTTTGCCATTCTGATTAAATTACTTCCTGTTTGCTATTTTGGACAATGTTAATTTCAAAATAGCAACTGCCTTCATAGGAAGAGAGTATCTTTTCATAATTAAATACTGCCTGTCAGGAAATCAGAAAGTCTCCCTAAGATTGCTGAGGGAACAAGTTAGCTGGCCTGACACACAGCCCATTTAAACTTAGTGAGGACACTCAGAAGTCTTTCGCCACACAACAGACTGGCTTACAACTGTACATTTCCCTTATTTGACATGTGGCATCTTTGGTACCTCCAACAAGAGTACAGAAGACTTAAAGAAGAGTAAAAAGAAATTTAAAAATCGCATAATGTTAATAAAATGTGATATATCTTTACCCCTGAATTTCTATGGACCAAGTAGGAAAGTAAGAAGAAATTTATTTATAGAGACGCACTGCACTCTAAACACCTATTTTAGGGCCGAATTTAGCAGGTTAGAACCACATGTGGGGTAGATTAGAACAACAGCTTACTGGACCCTGACCCCAGAGATCCCGATTCAGCAGGTGTGGAGTGGGCCAGAAACTGGTCTGGGAACTATTTTCAACTATTATTTCAAATGCTTGCTTTGAGGTTAAGGTTAAGACCTGTATAGCAAGACTATCAAAGAGTTTTCATCTGACCTTTGGAAATTTCTAGGTCAGCAGTTCATGCGTATCACATCTCAGTTTTCTTTCATTACTTAGTTTGAAATTCTGTTAAAATAGAATTCAAAAATGAATTCTTCTAAAAATTTGAAGGTGAAACAGGATAAAATTTTAAATGTCAGGCTCAGGCACAATGTGGACAAATATGAATCTGAATGATTTATAATCTCAATATCAAAAGCCTGTAAATACCAGACAGGTTAGACAGTCAAACAAATGGATGAAGTAAGCCAGAGAGTACAGGGAGCTGGAGCGGTCACACCCATAGAGGCAGCTGAGACTCAGCTCCAGACAACTGTCATCCAATAATGCAGGTCTGCTGTGGCCAGCCAGGCCTTCCAAGTAAGTGAGATAAGGTCAGAATTCAACATTTCATGTAACAGTTCTCAATTTTTAAACATAAGCTCTTCATTTAAAATATTTAAACACCATATTGGACACACAAAAAGGTCCGTGGGCTGTGTGCTGCCAGTTGAGGGGAATCCCAAGCTTTCTCCTGCACGGTCGGGGGGGCACCGTGCCAACACTGCTATGGGCCCACTGTCACCAGCGGGCATCCACTTCCCAAACTAAAAGCATCCTCAGGGCCGAATGAAGCCCCCTGCACAAGTGGCTTACCCATCGAGACAGGCTATCTGACAATGACCTGAACTTGAGAAAACTATGCCAAAAAGAAGTGAATTCTTCATATAATGGAAATTGTGATAAAAAAAAATTAGCTTAAAGTGACAGGTATTTCCAGATTATTAACTTGTATACCAGTAAAAAAAAGAGCAAAACCAAGGAATACAGAATTGAGAATTCTTAAGCATTCTATCACAGTGATAACCTGTAGAAGCTAATTCATCTCTGCCTAAAGACAAAACTGAGACAATCAGTCCATATAAATATGTTGAAGACAACTTTACAGGAAACATGGACTTGGAAATGTAATTATTCAAATCTCTGACTAACAGTGGCAGCCTGGACACTGCTGAAAAGGATCCTGAAGCTGAATCCTGACTCAGGGGAACAAGGAACGCCCCAGGCCTGGATGGCGGGAATGGGCAGTGGACATGCCCTAGATGTGGTTTCCTTTGTACAGGTGACAACACCACTGGTCTGGACTCAAAAATCCAGTCATCCTACAGAGTGTTAACACAGCCACAAGGACACTTTCACAACACAAGTAGGATGGGTCCAATCACATCTCGCCAACAGCCTTCCATTTCACTCTGAGTAAACGTTAACACCCTAATTATTACACAAAGTCCTCCATTAATCTGGCTCCCTGTTTCATCTCTCATCTCATTTCTTGCTACATGCCCCCTTGATGTTATTCTAGACAAACACACCATGCAAAGCCCTGTCAGGATCTCTATCTTTGCTATTCCAGCCAGAATCCACATATAATAGCCCAAACTAGGTTCTTCTATAAACAAAATTTTAATGGAATTTAAAAGTGTAAAATGTAAGAATGTAAAAATTAAAAATTCCTAGAGGAAAAGTCTCTTCTAAAAATATTTAAAAAAGAATGAAGGATTCCTTAGCTTACTTTCCCCCCAATTTTTTATTGCTTCTACTCATTAAATCCCTGTGAATATTAACAAGTGTCTGTGGCTAAAGGAGAATGTTCCACAGCAGAGAAAGGAAAAACACACCCAGTTTTTCTTAAGAAACTTTGGAACAATTTAATATTCATCCCCTGACAAAATTCAGAAAAACCCTCTCAGAGAGCCTACGATTAGGATAATAGTCAGGAAAACAGCAAGGACACCCAAAGAGGTACTGAGCACCCTCCAGTATAATTCTTAACTGTGACCCCAAATAAATGATTAGAGGCAACATGTCTTTATTTGGTGACCCAGTTGTTTTTTGTGGGTTTTTTTTTTTTTTTGCCATTATTAACATTTCAAACTCAACAAACAGAAAACTGGCAAATGAAGGAAGGAATTTTAACATGAAAAAGATTCCACTGACTGGAAGCCCCAACCACACAGTATCATTAGGCTCATGAGGACCGCCCCCCTAGGCGTTGCTGCCAAGGGCGTTCAGAGGAGATTTGGGTTGTGCAAGGGCAAACTGGGGTTGTCAAGAGAAATGACAGCACCAGACATGATACTTCAATGCCTTCCCCGGCAGAGGTAACCCCTTATTTCCCACACTACTTACAAACTCGTAGTCTCCATCCTGGGGTACTTTCCAATCCGAAGAGTTTTTCAAGGGGCCAGATACACTCTTGCCAAAACTGTTGACCTGATTTTCCTTTTCTTTTTGTTCAAAGTATTCAAGAAAAGAAGGTCTTGCAGGCTGCATGGTCTCATCCCTTCCTAAAAGCCAAGGAAGACAAAAGATGAAATAGAATATTAGATTTCAGGTAAGTTTACTAAGGAGAGCTATCTCCTGATGGGCCCCGCCCCGATCAATGGTTCTTTTTGTTAGATATGAACTCCTTCGAGAATCTGATGGAAATTACAGGAAATGCACAAATGCTCACTCAAAATACTTTACACAAAATTTCAGAGGATTCATGGCTCCCTTAAAATACATGCAAAGATTTCCCCAGGACTTCTTTTTCTAATTGGAAAGTGATGTAAAACTGAGTTATCTGCAAGCTATACTTTTTGGGTGTCCAACTATAAACAGTTCCTATCATAGCCTGAAAACAGAGAAGCAAGCAAAAATATTCAGTACTCATCTACATATAATACAAAATTCTCTGCAGGCACTGACACAGAAGAAGGGGGTGACAGATACAGTAGGATGGCGTCCCTTGATAATCTCATAACCTAACTGGATGAGAAAAATATGCACAAAAAAGAAAATGTAAGTAAATCATAATCCAGTCACTCCATGAAATACTATGTAGCTTTTTCATATACTATTTACAAATGGTTTGTGACAGCTGTGGGGCATGGGGGGGGGAGGATACATTATTTTTCATATTTATATATACATAAAAATGTATGAAGAGAGAGAGAGAATGAATTCAACTCTAAAAATCATATACACATTCTCTGAAGAGGAAATGCAAATGGCCAACAGGCATATGAAAAAATGTTCAACATCACTTGTAATCAGGGAAATGCAAATCAAAACTACCATGAGATGCCATCTCACACCAGTGAGAATGGCACATATTAAAAAAAACTAGCAACAACAAATGTTGGCGAGGGTGTGGAGAAAAAGGAACTCTCCTGCACTGTTGGTGGGAGTGCAAACTGATCCAACCACTATGGAGAGCTGTGTGGAGATTTCTTGACCTACTAAACATAGAACTTCCATAGGATCCAGCAATTCCACTCCTAGGTCTTTACCCAAAGGACACAGAAACATCAATTCCAAAGAGCACCTGCACCCCTATGTTTATAGCAGCACTGTTTACAATAGCTAAGCTTTGGAAACAGCCCAAATGCCCAAAAATAGATGACTGGATCAAGAAGATGTGGTACATATACACCATGGAATATTACTCAGCATTCAAAAAAGATAAACACATGCAATTTGCAGCAACATGGATGGCACTGGAAGGGATCATGCTCAGTGAAATAAGCCAAAAAGAAAAAGAAAAATACCGGATGGTCTCACTCATAGCAGGAATCTAGAAAACTTAAATAAGGGACCAGGAAAATGAGTAACTATAAGAAAGTGAAAATCAAAATCAGCAAAAAACTATGAACCAGAGAAACTTTTTGGGGGGTGGGGGCGGGAGGGGAGGGATTGGGGTCAGAATGGGGGGGGCTGCAATTGTATGGGGAATATAAAAATAAAATTTATTATAAAAAAAATAAAAAAATAAAAATCATATACACAGGAGTAAAAATAAAGACAGGGAAAAAATAGATCAGAATGTTAGCAGCATTTGTCACTGATAGTAGCATTATAGGTGATTTTATTTACCTTTTTAAAACATTTTAAAAAAGAAAGTACAGGAGAAGTATTAAATAGACAGAACTGGTTATAAGAGTTATATGTGCCCAGAAAATGATGGATCTTACAAGCTGGGGTGGTCATGGCAGACTGTAGAGGGGAACTTAGATGAGGCTTGAAACCACCCCGAAGAAAAGAATCAGCAATTGCACAGCAGGGCAGAGCCAGCAGTTAGGTGGCAGCAGTTACTGGTTATAAGTAGTAATAATGGCAAAAAGAATAATTTTACCTGGCATGACTTATAAACCTAGCTAGCTGAATGTGCCTATTCCACATGCTGAAGTGGCCCTGTGTTTGTGATTAATATTCAAATACTGGAAGGACAGGAGGTTTTTTCAGTGTTTTCCATAGATGGGTAGGTTTTATTGCCCTTTTTCCCCAGGAACCAGAATAAAGGACCAGAAGGCTCAGAGCCTTCAGGAAGGGGCCTAGAAGATAAAAAACAGCAAGTACTTCTCTCCAGGCACCCTTGCTTTGTGCAATCTTATCTTTTGACACTTGCTTAGTCCAGTTTAAAGCCAGCACCTGCCTGACTGCATCTCAGACATTTGTCATCTTCCCAACACCACTGCCAAGTTCAGTGGCAGCCAACCACAGATTCGCCCATTTCCAGATGCTGCCAATAGCTTACTTCACTTATTAGGGATTAATCACGGTGTTTGCCAGGTCAGTCAACAATTATGTGCTGAATGTGTGTTTTCTTTGTTCTAAGTCCAATATGAAGGGCTTTTCATGCTTATTTTAATTTGTAAGTTAAATTTAAGGTTCAATACATAACACAGTTCTGAAGAAACCACGTGCACACACACACACGCACACACACAAACTAATAAAAATGGGGGTGTTCTGGATTTACAGACAAGCCAGTGAGCTGTGTCCTTTGGGTCACTTCCCGCCGACCACCAGAAGACTGGCCCAGGGGCAAGTGAGCAGCAAGGCTGTGCATCCTCCAAGGCGGGGGGCGTGCTGAGAGCGCCCCCTAGAGCCGGGACTGTGACAGCACAGCACTACTGAGTGCTAACCGCGGGGACACAACGCACTTTTATACAAGATATCCCGACTAGACACACCTGCAGAACAGAACAGAAAGTCCAGAAACACAATAAAAATCCAAATGGCTATTCAAACAACTGGAGAGTTATTTGGAAAAAGATTAAATTGAATCCACACCTCGTTCCCCTTAAACCAGGAAAACTCCAAGTGGATTAGAGCACTAATTGTAAAAATGGAAACCTAAGTACTAGGAGAAGACATGTGTGAATGCATTTAAAACCTGGGTGTGGGGGGAAAAGAGACTTTCTAACGATGACTTTAAAAAGCCAGATGCAATAAAAAGTGAATAGATTAAAAAATCACATCACAAATTTTTAAAAACCAGACAGAAAGTACACACATACGAAAAGCCAAGTGAAAAGACATATGATAAAAAATTTTTTTTAATTAAAATAAACTTGAAGTCTGTTCTGCTTAAAAAAGACAAATGATGAACTAACAAAAATATCAGCAACAAATACCACAAATTTTTAGAGTTTTCATATAAAAAAAGTTTAGAGTTCCTTATATATTACACAGATAAGCTTCTAATATGTAAAAAATGCATACAATCAAGAGAAAGAGGAGGGGAAAGTAGAAAAATAGTTCAAGACTTTGAAATGATAGTATACACAAAAAGCTATGGAATTAGTCCCTAAAAATTAAGAGAATTAAAACTCCACAGAGATGACAATTTCTTACATTGCAGAATGGCAACAACCGAAAAGCTTGACAAGGCTGCAGGGTACTCCGGCCCTCTCAGACCTCACTGGGTCGGGGGTGGAGGGGCAAAACAGTACAAGCCCTACAAGGGGATTGGCAATATCTGAACATTAAAATGTGAAATAGAAGTTACAGAAAAATCCTGTGCTATATTTGAACTAGAAGTATTAACACAAATACAGTTGTTTTGTTTTTAAATTCTGAGGCTTTTTTCAATAAAAGGCTTTAAAGCAACACTTTATTACCAATGAGAGCACCAAGCATTCAGATCTTGGTTTCCCAAAACTCCACTAGTAAGGAACTAAGGCTTCTGAAGAGAAATAGCTGATTCTAAGACAAGGGCAGGAAAAAGCACAAAGTGGGGCCGGGACATCTTTCTGTGCCAGAAATACCAAGTACTCAAAATTGGATGGGGACATATCCGCAGGCTACAGAAGCCACTTTGAGAGCCTCCCACGGACACGTGGAGCATGGAAAAGCAAACACTGAGCAAAAAGAACCCAGAACTCAAGAGTAATAATCTAAAAGTGAAGGATGTTGGGAGAGAAGAAAAAGGCTGTTCCATAAAAAAATACCACTTAGCAACTCTATTGTGGTAACAAAGAACATCCTTGCTTAGGAAATTTACACAAAACTGAGTATCTCTTTAGAAAGTGCACACTAAATTTCAGTCAGCTGCATATGTCATGCACTGAGCTCTCCTCTTTGCTATTCAAGTCTGTTATCTGAGTCTGTTATCCGCGCTCCTTTATATTGCACACAGAAATGACTGCGTCCATTGACAACAATGGCAACTTCTGGACAGTGAGAAAAGGTAACACAAAATATGGTCTGTGGACCTATTACCAAAAACCATGAAGACATAATTTTTAAAGCACCATATCCAATAATAAAAACACTATAATTGCTACAATATACTTTTATGATGCTTCATTAATTTTTTCAGTTGTAATACAGGTGGACTTTAAAATTTCAAATCTTCAAACCAGTAGCAAAACCCTAAGGGTAACATTTCTGTGATCTAATTCGAAACCAAGTCATTAAAAAAAAAAAATCAAAGGTATGTTAAACAGTTGTCTAGTTTCTATCACTGTTTAGACAAAATGAGAACATTTGCTTTCTTCACATCTGAGTTCTCTTATATTTGATGATGACAGCCCTCCCCCAACTCACCTAAAGACTTCTAATATTTTTTGAGTTATAACACTCTTCAACAATTAAGGGTCAGCAATAAGGTGCATACACGCAAAGATGTTTACTTGTATGCATAAATAAATAAATCTTTAAAAAACAAAAACAACAACAACAACAAAACTGATGCAGAAACGTGTCTGGCTTTCTGTCTCACTCACACACACCACTCGTAACTAGAAGAGTTCCATTCTTTGGGAACTCAGACTCAAATTCAACTAGCACATGTAAGTTTCAGGTTTTGTACTAGGTGCCATCACATCCAAACTTCATGACGGAGGAGGGAGGTGGAGGGGGAAGACTTGTGCTTCTTCAGCACCTACCAAATGCTAGACAATGGACTAAATCACTAAATCCACATGTCTCCTGAGATGTGGTATGCATTATTATTTCCACCACAGAGGTGGAAGATCCCATAGCTAGCTCCCAACAAGGAGAGGATTTGAATCCTGAT